AGGGAAATAGTGGACTCTGGGCTTCTCTTTGCTCCTTTAATATGATGTATAATTGCGTCCCCTAGGGGTGGAAATAGGGAGACGCTGCCTCCCTAACGTGGGGAATGAGTACGGGGAAGCAATTATATTTTGAGGTTTTTTTTTTTTTGTTTTTTTTTTTGCAATGAGGAACTATGTAGTCTTGAATAACATGGTTTGGTAACTTCACTTTTTTCACCCTACTGTATTTTACTATGGCTCTGTGTACAGAGGGGAGCGCTTTTTTTATAAGAGCAAAGGCCAAAGGTCAGACTCCACTAGTGAATATGCTGATGCATAACACTACAGTATGTTGCTTTCTGCAACTTTGCGAGGTTTTCAGTTACAGATGTGTGACAGAAAAAAAAAAAAAGTAACAACAGGAAAAGCACCAAATATAAATGGCCGAGTACAGAATACTCACTCACTATGCAAAATATACTTCTAAATACACTTTTAGTCTTAGATACCCAAACAATAAAATATTTACTATCAAAAGTTAAAACCAAGAGACAAGACTGAAACAAAGGAATTTTTCCTTTTATCTTAAAAACAGACACCATAATCTGTAGACACTGTAGTCGTATAAATGATAATTATTACACATGACCTTAAAGTTCAATTCCATTACCATAAACAGAAAAAACAGTAAAGTAGTGAGAGTATGTTGAAGTGTGTTGACAAGTAGGGAAATGTGATCTGCTTGGCCGATCTGGAAACTTCACTCTTGGCTGCATCTCAGTGTTAGCAGAGTAACATTGGCCAAAGTGACAATGTCTGTGGGATGACTGTGATTTGCATGGCTATGTTTTCTTACAGTAAGTTTATGTAAATGTTGTGGGTTTTTTTCAGATACTGGCTGAGGAAATGCAGCAGTGTGTTTGTCGCTCAGTCCAAGTCTCACAGTTCAGACAGTGGTTTCTTTTCACCTGTTTCATCACAACACTGACATTTGATTTTGCAGCAGTGGAGAGTACAGAGTAATAAATAAGTCAGGTGACAACTGGAAGGAGTTGTCCTGAGTGGAGTCACTCTGCGTGGAGCCATGCAGCCATGTTTTTTATTATGATACATGATGGTGCATTACAGCTGGCAGTTAGAGGAAACCAGAGAGTTTGAAAGACCTTGGCATTGAGGGACAAAAATGCAAACAAACTGAGTTCTGTCAGAAACTACACCACTGTCCAGTTTTAGTTTCAACCACGTGACACCATGACTGTCATATCGGTTTTATTTTCACAACCCTACGTCATCAATGTGCTTAACGTATAATTTGTGTTTTTTCAGGTATATGCTTTTTCTAAAAGTATGAAATTGCTAAAACCATTTCTGGTACTTCAACAGGAAATTTAGATATTCAAATTGATTCTTGTTTAATTTTCTACTCTAAGAAATTCATTTTGGTACGTTGTATTGTTAGCTCATTAGCACATAGTTAGTTCATTTAAAAATCGACCTAAGTCTATTCATGATTAAACTCTAAACCATTGGTTGTACATGTCAATCGCATTCACGCCGATGTCATTAAATTAGATAAAGCGTTTTGGTTGAGCTATTTTGGTAAAGGGCTGCACCGTTCTGCCCCTCATTTTCCTGCTGTTTATGTCGTGTGTCAGAACACGCCACGCAGCCGCTGATGCAGAAACCTCACTCAGTTTCATGACTGCAGTGACTGTGAGACACACGTTTTTATTGCCTTTTAAAATTATTTCTTTCTTGCATGTTATCATGCGCTGGTTACTGGTTGGATGCTTCATTTTGGGTCTGAACCACATCTCAGGTAAGTGATCATTTGAGGTAAAATAGAAAGAAAAAAAAAGACAATTTCAAAAGTCCTGTGGATAAATATCACTGACAGAATGTTGTCCTAGAAATGTGATGATTGATGATTTTCCTATTGAATTGTCACATTTTTTTTACTGTATGAAATGTATATGCTACTCAAAGTATTTGTTATCGTTAGGCTACAATATCAATACTTCCTGTCCACCTGGAGTAAAAGAGGAAGTTTTCTAAAAAAAAAGTACAACTCTAGTTATTTTTTAATACATATGATACAAACAATAATTTACTTTGTTTTCAAACCACTTAAAACAAACTGCCGTTAACTGTGTCACGTTTCTTTCCTTCTTCCTTTAGCACATAGGATTACTCAGAAGCCCCGGTTCATTGGAGTCAAAATGGGCTCCTCCGTGTTGATTCAATGTTCCATGACTGAACGTGTGGACTCACTGAACATGCAGTGGTACAGAGCTGACGCGTACGACCAGAAGAAAGTAGTGCTACAGCTGGAAAGGGACGTGTCTGGTAACAGGAGTTTGACCAAAGACAACCTTCTCACCTTACACAGAGTTCAAGTAGAGGACAGTGGAGTGTACTTCTGCCAAGCTGGCAACACAATGGGGCCTGGAACTCAACTGATAGTCGTCAGTAAGTATAGTAGCCGGAACTCCTTCTCACACCTGGGCGCGTCATCTGTTTGTTTATCTTAGCCCCCAGTGGAAACTGTATGTGGAGGCAGGTGTAATATAGGCACTATGCAAAATTCATGTTTTTAGGTGCTAATTTAAAATCTAGTTGTCAGAAATTTGAATATTCCATATTATGACACAAAAATGAAACATTGTGCTCAGTTTTTTATTTTTTTTATCAAGCTTCAGTACATATGATGACAGATTTATTATTGCTAATTTTGGTCATTTGCAGCTATCAGTTCAACTTGTGTGATAAAAACATATTTTCTCTCACAGAGGCCACAGACTTGACTGCAGCCCAGCACAGGACCACCATCAAGGACGGGCTCATTATTGTCCAGGCTCTGTTGTTGGCCTTGTTTATCGCTGCTCTGCTGATGCAGAAACGAAACCTGGTGAGGAACAGCATGAGCCAAAATATGTCAACTAAGTTATACCTTTTCTTTTGAAAAAATGACAAAAAAAATGGTTTTATTTTTCTGAACAGTCTGAAAAGGAGGATAGCGAATATGAGATGCCTGAAAATGACCACATCTATCAGGTTGGTTGTGTCACAACATTTATAAAATGATTACGGATTTAAATTCTTTATTCTTCACTTGACATGACTTTTCAGATGGTGTTAAATATAACACTCCACACACTGTGAAGATAACTGACGGGTTTCTTCCTCTCTTAGGGCTTGGCAATTGAGACGTGTAATGGAGGAATGTATGAGGAGCTGACAGTTTATGCTCAGCCAGATGGATCTGAGGCCCCGTGGGAATGAAACGAACGAGGCCGGAGTATTTTTAATCAGGGGTTTGAGTTTTAACATCTTAAATATACAGCAGCTAAATTAGGAATAAGCAGCTTCTAAAGTACAGAGGAAATTCTGGGTGATTTGGGATTTTTGACATTCCAAATGTGTTGACATCCCTGTATGTAGTTGTAATGTTTTTTTCTCTTTCTTTATTTTCTTCATCTGTCTTTTTTACTCTTCTCTCTGTGTGATGTTGTTTGAAGTTCTCGAAGACACCAGTTTTAATTTTTAATACTTTTTTGTTGAAGCTACTTTTTTTTACTTGACTGATTTTGTGTTCTTGGAAACAAATCCGTTTGTGTGATGTTCTTTAGCAGATTTAGCTTTTGTTATAATATGAAGAAGGAATTTTAGTCTCTGGGTTGAAATGGGTCTTCACTGGGAAGCAGATGCATGTTTTTGATGCAATATTGTTTAAAACAATATAAAACAATATAACTAAAACATGTAACACCTTTAGATGTAGAATAAAACAAAGAAATGAATAAACAAATAAATAAACATCTGTCGGATGCTCCTTTGGTACCAACTAACTTCAGAATCCCAACTAACCTAACAAATCTCACCATAAACCAGAGTTCAAATTATAGGGCAGCTAAAACCTAATTGGAGACATTTAGGGGGAGCTCAGAAATATTGTGGACTTTTGTGTCACAGGTCACAGACTTTCGACTTTCTCTACAGTCAGTTTCCTGAAATAAATATAGTAAAACCAATCCAACCCCCGGACCACGAGTGGCGCTGTAGGCTACTTATATTTTAGTCACCCCTGTTGATACAGCACGTTTAAAAGAGAGACAGTGAGACAGACAAATGTTGGGTTTGGTAAATGAAAAATCATCTTTAATAGATTCCATTACACATGTAAAAATAATTACTTTATTTGGGCCATAGTTGAATAAATAGATAAATAGATAAATAGATAAATAAATATTACATCAACAGGTTTTAGTCAAGTAGAGATGAGACCAGAAGATCTGCTCTGGTGAGATGATATTCCATTTCTGTTCTGACCAGCTCCCAGGCTTCAGCGCTGTGGCCCTACACAAATAACAATGGAGAATATGATCATTATTCATAGATAGATAGATAGATAGATAGATAGAAGGACAGACAGACAGACAGACAGACAGATACCTGTCTTTCTAGGATGTGGCATGAAAGTCTCTTGAAATACAGCTGCAGCTTCTTGTTCTTCTTCTTGTGGCTGTGTTCACCAATCTAAATATGTAAGAGATACATTTATTTATTAAGTGTGTTTTATTAATCCAATCTAATGCGGTGAAACATCCACTGTGACACTCACACAGGAGCGGAGGTGGTTAATCTGCTGTGACACAAGATTGAAGAAGTTCTTCAGTGTTCTCTCTTCCCATGATGTCGCGCTGTGATCCTCATGCAGCAGATCAACCATCTCCTCCAGAACCTGAGCTGTGAAACCAAGTTTAACCTCCGCCTGAAGGAAGAGGAAGAAACAACACAGACGTGAGATGAAATTGTTTTAAAAATAAAATGTTTTTTTTTTCTTTGTAAATCAGGTTTTGAAAACAATAAGCAACAATGTTTGACTCACTGAATCTTTATCTGCCTGACTGTAGAGATCATCAGGAAAGGCCACAGTCTCCTCCAGGGCAGCATCCTCTGTGGTGTTGGTGGAGTTATTAGTCTGTATCACACACACACATCATGTGTTACAGGGGAAAGAAGATTAAATTAGTGTTTCAAATGTTTATTGTCAAACTAATGATAATAATAACAATGATAATAGTCATCAATTCAAGACAACCTGAACATTAGTGAGTCCAAACGTGGAATCAAATTCACAATACTTGACTAATAAAGATATTTAGATATTCTAGTACAATCGTCTGGTTACATATTTCAGAAAAGAGCTGTAGTGAATTGTATACAGGAAATGATGTCATAATCAGTTTGTGAGTGAAAGGGTCCCTCAGAGACCACCACTCAAAAAGACAGCCAGCTACTTTTATCTCAAAAATTAGATATGTAAAAAAAACAAAGCACAAATCCATGACATTAAAGGCATCGTTAACATTGTTTTAGACAAAATCTAAAAGGAAGCGTTCACTCACCAAACTTTGAAAAAGTTTCAGAGAGTTTTCACTGAACACTTTGAATTTATGGTCCAACCATCTGCAGCTCAGAGTGGAGACGCCACTGCACACACCCAGGAAGAGGCAAACCAACAAGACCCTGCTGATCATTTTGGAAAGAGTAGAAGTAGTTTCTTTATGGAGTTAGTTCAGGTGTCTGATTGTGATGAACTGATGGAGCAGACCTGCAGCTTTATAACAGGACTCACCTATTTCACTTTCCAGTCTGAACCTAATGCTACATGTGTGGGAAATCTTTAGTGGTTTTACTACAGTACATACTACACACATTTGACAGTTTGATGTCATACATCTATGATTTAAATCAGTGTTATTGTTTTGAAAATTGTTGCCTTTTGTGATGGATAATATGAATGTGATTACAGAAACTGAAGTAATAAATATTCCCAACAGATGTATTACATAGTTTTCTAAATTCATAATGACTTTCAAGCATAGAATGACTGTAAGAAATACATCACCTGCATTTTCTGATATTAAAATATGAACATTGGCAGGTTAATTATGGTATTTTCATGTTTTTATAATGTCGTAAATATGAAATAAATGTGCGGCTTAATGTGAACAGAAATCAAAGTTGTTGTTTTTTTACAAAACAAACTAAATAAATTTATTTAAAGAAATGCGAGAGTTTTCTTTCCATTTTTTTAAATGCATCTTTTATTTTTGGAATCACTGCCAGTTTTCATTCATAAAATCATAAAAGGTGTGAGCCTGTGTAATAGTTGTTGTCAAGGGGAAGTCCCTGTTCTCAGGCTGAACCTGTGAACATGATCTTCTGTGTGAAAAAGGGGATTAACTCAAACCTATGTATTCATTGTAAACTGAAACATGAAGCATAAAATGTTTTTGATATGAAACCTGTGGTCTACTTTTTTATCCTATCAATTTTGTTGCTTTAAATTTAAATACAATTCAGAAAAAATAGAATATTACTAACAGACACACTCTAACCTAGTGGTTATATTAAAGAATAGTCCTTAACGGGTGCATCTGAAAACTATTATTTGTGTAGTACTTCTACTCTCTCTCTCTCTCTCTCTCTCTCTCTCTCTCTCTCTCTCTATATATATATATATATATATATATATATACACCCTGTTTTTTAGGCATCCGTTTTAGCCAATACACTTTCAGAAGCCACGGCTCAGAATTCTCTCTTCTAAGTTTTTTTGTAGTGGATATATGTGTGAGTTTAATGTTAATTTTAACAATTTAGCACATTACCCTTCTGTAGAACTCCACTAGTTAAATAGGTCATTTTTTTAAGACTTGCAGTCATTTAAAAAAAAATCGAACATGAGCTGGTATTCGTATGCAGATTAAATAGATTTAAACCCAAAAATTCAAAATAAAGCATGTTAAAAATTCAGTGTAGAAAAATCTCTCCTATCTTGAGAAAAATGATTAAATGCAAGGTTATCATACAATATGTAGGTGGCGCTGTTAAAAAATGCACGTAAAGACATTTCCAAAGAAGCCTGTTGTAGTTCTGTCACATTTCCACAGTATGATATATGTTTAAAAAAGAATTGACCACTGAGTAAAGGAATGACATGCTGAAATAACAGCTAGAGCCATTGTGGCCAACGCCTTATGTTATGATGTCACTGTTGCGTCACCAGTCTGTTTCATTTTCTCTGTGTGGGGAAGCGCTTTCACCCTGTGGTATAACACATGCTGTGCTCTGAAGAAACTTCCATGGAAGTCTAATCATTCAACATGGAACAGTTTACCAATCATTTAAATAAATTATATTTATCATGAGGTCTGCACTGGAAAGTTAATTGGATATATAAAAGACAACAAATGTTAAAAAATGTAGGCAATCAAAATATGTGTACAGTCTTTGTTAGGTATTTATGATACCTTGTATCTTGTATTTTAGGATGATTGTACAACAGGATAAAATTGGTGACAGAACAAGTGGAAATCAAGTGGAAATAAAAAAGATACAAACAAAAGAAAAACAACAAATGAAAATAATAATCATCATCATCATCATCATCTCAGAAAAATAAGTTATAACTACGAGGAGAGTAAAGTTGGTATTGCTTCAGTGAAACACACTTAATTCTAAGGTTAAGATCTTGCAATTGTAATAACAAAGTACAAGTAAATAATTCTAAACTCTAATTTAGTTCTTTAAACATACATACAATTTGATGTCTGTAAATAATATCACTTAAACTTAACTAATATTCAGAGATGTCTGATAATATTACATAAGTTATTTCATTACTAATTATCTAATAGAAAAATAATATTGATTAGATTATTAAGCTGAATAATTCATACATTCTTTGGCTCTTAGTGTAAAAAGGCTTTTGTTTTGCCTGCCATGGTTAATTTTTATTTTCACATTCATAAATATTTATATCTAAAGATTTCCCACACATGTAGCATTAGGTTCAGACTGGAAAGTGAAATAGGTGAGTCCTGTTATAAAGCTGCAGGTCTGCTCCATCAGTTCATCACAATCAGACACCTGAACTAACTCCATAAAGAAACTACTTCTACTCTTTCCAAAATGATCAGCAGGGTCTTGTTGGTTTGCCTCTTCCTGGGTGTGTGCAGTGGCGTCTCCACTCTGAGCTGCAGATGGTTGGACCATAAATTCAAAGTGTTCAGTGAAAACTCTCTGAAACTTTTTCAAAGTTTGGTGAGTGAACGCTTCCTTTTAGATTTTGTCTAAAACAATGTTAACGATGCCTTTAATGTCATGGATTTGTGCTTTGTTTTTTTTACATATCTAATTTTTGAGATAAAAGTAGCTGGCTGTCTTTTTGAGTGGTGGTCTCTGAGGGACCCTTTCACTCACAAACTGATTATGACATCATTTCCTGTATACAATTCACTACAGCTCTTTTCTGAAATATGTAACCAGACGATTGTACTAGAATATCTAAATATCTTTATTAGTCAAGTATTGTGAATTTGATTCCACGTTTGGACTCACTAATGTTCAGGTTGTCTTGAATTGATGACTATTATCATTGTTATTATTATCATTAGTTTGACAATAAACATTTGAAACACTAATTTAATCTTCTTTCCCCTGTAACACATGATGTGTGTGTGTGATACAGACTAATAACTCCACCAACACCACAGAGGATGCTGCCCTGGAGGAGACTGTGGCCTTTCCTGATGATCTCTACAGTCAGGCAGATAAAGATTCAGTGAGTCAAACATTGTTGCTTATTGTTTTCAAAACCTGATTTACAAAGAAAAAAAAAACATTTTATTTTTAAAACAATTTCATCTCACGTCTGTGTTGTTTCTTCCTCTTCCTTCAGGCGGAGGTTAAACTTGGTTTCACAGCTCAGGTTCTGGAGGAGATGGTTGATCTGCTGCATGAGGATCACAGCGCGACATCATGGGAAGAGAGAACACTGAAGAACTTCTTCAATCTTGTGTCACAGCAGATTAACCACCTCCGCTCCTGTGTGAGTGTCACAGTGGATGTTTCACCGCATTAGATTGGATTAATAAAACACACTTAATAAATAAATGTATCTCTTACATATTTAGATTGGTGAACACAGCCACAAGAAGAAGAACAAGAAGCTGCAGCTGTATTTCAAGAGACTTTCATGCCACATCCTAGAAAGACAGGTATCTGTCTGTCTGTCTGTCTGTCTGTCCTTCTATCTATCTATCTATCTATCTATCTATGAATAATGATCATATTCTCCATTGTTATTTGTGTAGGGCCACAGCGCTGAAGCCTGGGAGCTGGTCAGAACAGAAATGGAATATCATCTCACCAGAGCAGATCTTCTGGTCTCATCTCTACTTGACTAAAACCTGTTGATGTAATATTTATTTATCTATTTATCTATTTATCTATTTATTCAACTATGGCCCAAATAAAGTAATTATTTTTACATGTGTAATGGAATCTATTAAAGATGATTTTTCATTTACCAAACCCAACATTTGTCTGTCTCACTGTCTCTCTTTTAAACGTGCTGTATCAACAGGGGTGACTAAAATACGTTCATCTCGACACAACACACAATATCGATTTACAAAGTGACTATTGGGGGTTCCCTATTCTATTGGTGAAGAATGAGTGCAATCAAATATAGTGTAGAGAAATTCAACAGCCTAATGTATTTCAGATATAAGTAGCCTACAGCGCCACTCGTGGTCCGGGGGTTGGATTGGTTTTACTATATTTATTTCAGGAACCTAACTGTACATCTATTAATGTGATTCATTCATCTATTTATTTATTATAGTAGAAGAAGATGTATGTGAAATCTGTCGTAAAACACAACTAAATACTAGGCCAAATACTAGATTACAGAGTACCTAACCTAGTACAGAATACCCACTAATCCAATACTAATAAACCGCGTTCAATCTTCATCTGAAATGATGTTGCAGAAAGTCGTTTTTTTAACCACTGTGCTCTAAGACAGGAACAGGCAGGGAACAAATAGTTCTGACGTGGGCAACACCACCGGGAAAACTACGCTGTTACTCGTCTTTTTTTTTCGACGAACATTAAATGCATCATAGCACTCGTCAAACTCCCATGATGCACTGGTGCTACATTAGACACTTGCACCACCACTTGTCAAAACAAATCCGAGTTTTCGCTCCGTGTTTGTAGGTTTCTTTTGTTTTAAAAGACAAAACTCCTAGAAGGACAACATCCATGAACTCCCACTCATCGGTAGCAGTTGCTAACAGAAGGTCACACGGCTGCTTTTGGATAATATCGGACGTGTTTCGGTAAGAAAGTCTACCTTGCTGCTAATGCTGCATTTAGGCTACTGGACTCGGCTGTAGCCACATGTCAAAACTCGAAATTATTTTATATGACAACATTATCGCTTTTTTCCTGCAACAAAAACAGGACATACCCGGCACCACAACTAGAGGAAGTAGAAAAGACTATAGGGTAGCAGTAATTGTTTTAAATGTTGATGTGATTATTTTGATTACAGAAAATCCTCTCTTGATGAGCACATGAGTAGTCATGTGTTTGCTGTTCGTGTAAAAACAACCTAAGTATTTTGTCAGCTGTCACCTCAATACAACTTAATATTCTGTAAGAGCTCCTGTTGCAGTCACTACCACCTTTTTCTGATCAAGCTTAAGCTTAGAGAATAATGAAATATTCAGTCATTTTTGGAATTCTCAGTAAATTTAAACAATTTATTGTGTTTTTGGGAGACTCACTATCAATAGGTTCAATGTCTGAAATGGTGATTCTTAATGAGATAAAAGTATTGTGACAGGCATGTTTGAAGCAGCGACAGGACTGACTCTCGGGTATATTTTACCGAACAAAATTCGTTCTATAAAACCGGCCGTTAGTTATTTACTTCCTCAGTTATGTTTGATAAAGCAGAATCCAACGTGTTAGATATGATATGATACGATATAGATATTTTTACACTGCACAGATCCTTAAGTTCCCTCAGATCTTTTGGTGTCCAGATTGGGGAAGTTAGCTCTGAGGCATTTGTTGTTACTTCCCTGCAGATCCTGGAGTTCTATTAACAGCACTTCACATGACTTACATTCAAGTGGATACACACCACTGAAACCATGACATTGCAGATACATCACACAGTACAGTCTCATGATGAAGAGTGCTGCGATTGCTTAATGGAAAAAACGCTGCTGCCAAAGTGGAGAAAGAGGGGAAAAAAACTAGTTTCCCTGTCATCCTTTGGCACACAGACGGGTACTTCTTAATCTAAAAAGAAAGAAAGGAATAATAGCATAGTAAAGACGTTGCAGGCAAGCCTATATTTATTTGTATGCCAGCTAGATATTTGCCAACGGTATCAACTCTAGCTTTTAGCTTACAAAACAATATTCAGTTCTAAAATCACAACATTAAGCAACAGACCTGAATACTTTCTTTCCAGTTTCGGTAATTTGTTTACCTGTGTTAAAACTTGGATTTATTAGGGAGTCTTTATGCAACTGTTACTTTACTACTACTTTCCTTTGTCTTTTGCCTTTTGTCCTAGCCAGTGCCAATGCTAGTTTTTTGCAGCACTGGATGGTTGTGGCAATAATAATATATAATAATAATAATATAATAATATATATCCTTTTGTTTTGTGCTGTAGTGTGCAATGTGGGAGTAATACGTTTCCTCAGGAGGTGCCATGTTAGCCACACAGATACCCGACATGCCACCAGAGGCTAAAGATGTCAGACAGGTACAACAACAACAATCTGTTTCCCACGTGCAAAGATCTTAGTGCACTTCTTATTATTTCTTCTTCTTCCTTTTACTTGTTTTTTTTTATAATTCAGTGGCAGTAGTACATGGCTGGGAATCAACGGCTTATTTTTTTTACAGAGGCCATGTTTTCCACCAGGCCTTAGTTGTTTACTAACTGTTTCTATGGATTCAAAATAACATAAGTCATGAATATCGCTAAAACTTATTATGCTTTACTTTGTATTGTTAATATAAGACCAGTATAAAATTGACTGTATACACATTCCTCCATTCTCCCCATTTTGTTTTTTGGGAGGGCAGGTTTTAATTCTAATTTTATAACTAAAGTAAGTTATGTTGTATAAATAAAAAATAACTTGACTGCTCAACATAACCACACCTTTAGTGACATCCACTCAAAAAAGCAAGAGTACCTCAACTTGGTTTCTCATATGTGTTGAACAGATCAAAGAGACGTTGGCACAGTCACTAAAGGCGCTGCAGAAGCGATATGTAACGTCAGACTCAGTGGTGACCAGTGAAGATGGTGATGCTAACTTGCTCTGCTGCGCCTTAGAGGCCATCTTCATCCACGGTATTAGGAGCAAGTACATCCGCACAGAGGCTGCTGGTCGGGCACGGAAAGGGAATCGAGGCCCCCTTCCTCAGCCTTTCTTCTGGAGCCTCCTTAAGTCCATCACCCATCGGTAGGTTCAGGGCAATGGAACACATTGCAAGTGTTGATCTCAAATGGGATGGTTTTGGATACATGGTCAACTTCGTGGTAAATGTAAAATTGTTTGTCATTTAATCTTTAGTGATGTCATTATGGAGCTGGAAAAGATCAGCTTTGTGGGAACTGATGTTGGTCGCTGCAGAGCGTGGCTTCGTCTGGCCCTCAACCATGGCCTGCTGGAGTGCTACCTGGTATCTCTTTTTCGGGAGGACTCCAAACTGCGTACCCACTATCAACCCAGTGCCTTGCTCCTTAATACTGAGGAACGGGAAGTTCTCCTCAGTTATCTCCAAGGTCTAGCGTCACTTCAGTTCAGCCTTTCTTACAAGTCATCTGTTCTCAATGAGTGGACCACCACACCACTGGTCCTGGCTGGCCTCTGCCCTCTATACCAGGCAGATTCACCCAGCGTGTCCCACAACGGCAGGGACTACCTTACGTCAACCCACCTGCGTAAAGAATCATGGGACACAGTTTCTCAGTCATCGGGCTCTTCAGATTTCTTGGATACACAGACAGGGTGTCCAGTGTTAACAGGCAAGGAGTCCAGTGCTATACAAGATGCCAGGACTGCACTAAACTCGTCTAACCTTAGCCTGGAAACGACTGGATCCTCTCAGCTCTCCTCCAGTCTGAGCTCTGATAGCCTCCTGCAGGGGCAGGACCCCCACAGCTCAACAGAACAGTGGTCCTCCTGTGACCTGGATTTACCTGTAAATGGTAATATAAGCACGAGGCAGCAAAAAGAGTAAGTCTATACAGTATCATACAAGTTAGTTGTTTAGACTATTAGGCTCTGGTTATTGTAAAAGAAAAAACAGTGTGACACTCTGTTGCTTGGTGTCATGCCTATATGTTATATGTGTTAAACATACTTCCTAAAAACAAAATAGTTTTTCCTATTACAAATATTCACCAAGCCATAGTTCGACTGAACCTAAAAAATGTATTGGGCATGTCAAAGGTCATTTGTATAAAAAATGTATACACCATTGACAGTAAGTGAGTCAGCAGAAATAATAAATGGTGTGTTTAATATTGTTGGGTGAAAAAAAAATTGCTCGATTGAATTACAGGCTCCCTGCTCTCATTATTTATTTTTAAAAATGAAATAATCATAGAACCGACAGTAACGATATTTTATTGTGATTTCTCTGTCCCTGTAGTTCACTCACAGGTGAGAGTGGACAATGCAGTCAGGACTCCCTGCGTGAGGACTCCTTTGTCTCAAGTATGGGACCAGATCAGTTTTCAGACACAGCAGTTTTAAGTGGTTCTGACAGTGACATCCAGGCCTCTGCTTCACTGACCCACGACCTTAAAGACCGGCCTCCGAAAACAGTCCTGTGGGAATCGCAGCCACCGACAGCTGCGGATGATGTGCCATTGTGTGCTGAAAATCACGTCAATTACATTCCATCTGATGTTTGCAAAAATATTTCTGTGGAATTAAAGGTGGACATGCCGACAATCTCTGACCCTGTAGAGACTGTGGAGGCAGGAAGTGCAGGTGATGTTCAGGAGACGTTTGAGTCTGTTCAAGAACAGACTCAAACGTCTGCAGCAGCAACTTTAAAGAACAGCAGCTCACAGCCGCTGCTACACCCAGGAGAGCAACACTTCATCAGCGTGGTGAGCAGGAAACAGTCCACAGATTCTCTAACAGTGAGTATCTTACCGGCAATATCCCTATTACCATGATTCAAAGCTATTCATTATGCTGTCATGTTATTTTGTATAGTAGGACAGTAATAGAAATATGTGTACCTACGTGGAAGTACTGATGTTTTTTATGTTTGTTATGTTTGAATTGAAGAATTTTAAGTGACTTTTCTAATAATTTTATTCAATGAGAAGACATCTCCCAGTTATTGTGTATTATCCGATGTTTTGAAATGTGTACATTTCTATGTGGATTAAAGGATTGGGTCAATATAAAGCACATCTGACTTCAAAGACATGGGGATCTAAAAATATTTTCCTAAACTGTGGTTAAGTGACACACATCCTCTTGTTCCTCTAAACTAATAATACTGAAACACAATGCGTATTCATTTTTAACACTTTTTCCGCTATTGTCACATGAACATATCTCTATAACTGAATAGTAGGTAAGAACTGATCTGATCCTGGATGGATAAAAAGTATTTTCTTATTGTGTGTTCTAATGAAATGACATCCGTCTTTAACAACTGCAGCATTCCCCTTCCTGGATCTCTGATGATGATATCTACAAGCCTCAGCTCGAGGTGGTCTCAGATCATGATAAGGCCCTCCTATCTGTTCCAACACCTGAACCCGAGGTCTCTCAGACGCCACCAAGTGTCATTCATCGCAGACAAATAGGTAATAGCAGTGGTTAAAAAACAAAACAAAACAAAAACCGGAAGGTCACGTGTTATTCTGCCACGCAGGCCAATGTCATCTGAGGGCACTAAAGTCTGTAGGGTGCAGACTGTGTAATGTTAAAAACCACTCCCATTACACTGCTGACGCAGCTTGTGTTTTTCCTGAATTGTGAAACAGGAAATCACCTGTAGGCCAAGCTCAACTGGAGTGTGATTATTTACCTACAATAAATTCCTTGAGTCTAATGATTAAAGCGAAAGTGTTGCAACAAAATTTCCAGGTGAAAATTTACCAGAGAAGGAAAAATGTAATAAAATGAAAAACTCTGATTGCCAGACTGTCAGTAGGCCAATTTTTTATTCTCTAACATCCTCTAAGGTAAAAGGAACATTTTCATACAATTATTATATATTAAAATATATTGAACAGTCTGTGACTCTGGTATTTTTAAACTTTAAAAAAATCTTTTTAGTATTATTCTTTGGTAACAAGTATGGAATTTATTCAAAAATATGTATATGTAAATACAGTATATGTATATATAAACATATATACAGTATATATATATAATATATATCAGGATCAATATATTGAAATTATAAACATATAATTTAAAAAATATTTATTTGTATTTATTGATGTATTGTGGCCTCGTCCATTTTTCACCTGACGATTTGTGTTGGTAACCGTGTGCCTGTGTGTCTGTTTGTCTTCCAGGACTATCCAACCCATTCCGTGGTTTGCTGAAGCTCGGTCATCTAGAGAGACGAGGTGCTTTGGCGATGTGGCATGACTATTACTGCGAGCTGTCACCCTTTGAGTTTCGCCTGTATTCAAATGCAGAGGAGCGGACATGCTGCGAGAACTGCTACCTGGTGCGTTGTGAAGACGCCCAGGTGACCTCATCTGAGGGCCGCTTTGAGTTGGCGTTTCCAGGGAAACGACTGTACCTACGAGCAGCAAATCAGGATGAAGCGGAGGATTGGGTGGACAGGATACTGGAGGCTGTGAACAAATGTCGGCCAGCATCCCACATGGATGAGCAGTGGGAAGTCCTGCGACCTACTACTGAGAATGGTGCAGATGAGTGCACATTCTCATCACCATCCTCTGCTCCCTCCAGCCCTGAAAAAGGCGTCTCAACGTCAGACTCAAGGACTGGTGTAGGACCTGAGGCAGCTTCTCTGTCGGTTCAGGAGTTTGACTGGACAAGGACTGGTGATATAGAAACCGACGCCATCAAAGAGGCCGTTTTGTACTTCTCCACAGATGCTGATACTCGGACATGGACACCTCTGGTCTTCTCTCTCTCTCTGGAGACCTTGAAAGGATTCCGTGTTCAAGATGGAAGAAAGTTTGTGCATCTAACTTATCCAATCGAAGAAATCCGGGATGTGGTGCCTGATGTCTCCTCAGGAGGACCAGATTTTTTTAAGCTTCTGACTGTTAACAAAACTCTTAGACTCAGGGCAGAGAACCCAGAGGAGGCTCGCTCATGGAGGGTTTCGATCCGTGGAGCTCTGGACGCTTACCTGGAGAGTGGGGAAGGGTGTTGTGATGATCCAGCTGCAGTACATCAGGGAGTGAGTGGGAACCTTCACAGGCTGGTACAACACAGATTAAAAGAAGACGCATCTCTTTTGGTGCATCTGTGCACAGTGCCATCAGAGAAGGGACTGGACACTCAGAATTTCAAGTGTGCAGGTGACAGTGAGTGTTAAACGTAGTGTGACTGTGAATCCTGTTTCTCTTGTCTATGTTAGTCAGATGCCTAGCTATAATTTTTTTGCATCACTTACAGGTTGTCCTCAGCAGATCGGTCCGTCCCTGGGCAGAGCCAGGCTGTGTGAGTTCTCTGGCCAACACTACTGTGAATCTTGTCACCACGGTGACGCCACCATCATCCCGTCTCGCATGGTGCACAACTGGGATCTCACTCAGAGAGAGGTGGGTACCACGTGTGTTGACGAGTAACTAAGGTCTGAATCACTACTACCAAGACCTCTAGCACATGCCTGATTATATACAGGTGAAATTAATTGCTGTACTTCCTCTCTACAGGTATCCAGGAAAGCCCTGCAGCTATTAGCCAAGATAGAACAGGAACCTCTGCTGGACCTGGGGCAGTTAAATCCTGGTTTACTGAATCATGCTGAGTCCATGGCTCTGGTCCACAACCTGAGACAAAGACTCCGGCTCCTTGGTGACTACATACTCACCTGCCGAAGCAAAGCTTACAAGAAACTTCAGTCCAGGTCTGTCTATGGTGTTGTTTTTACCAGTGTCCTCTTGTGTCAGCCTGTCCTTTCACTCAACATCAGTTGTTTGGTGGATGTGATGACCAGGTATGAAAATAAATAGGGCTTCCATTCTTATGTCTGGATTTCATGGATAAAAAATAAACAGCTTTCAGCAAAAAAAAATAGACATTTCCAATTTGTATTTTCTAATTAATAAATGAATACTAATAATTATGATTAAGGAAAGAAAGTGCACTACTTGTCTTTGTGACACACCACTCGAACCTGAAAACCTTCCAGACCTGAGTCCGCATCCTTAACCTCCAAGTCACAACTTCCCACCACTAATTAGATTAAGTATGTATGTATTATTTTTCTCTATAGAATGGGACAGCGACTATACTTGTTGGAGTCAAGCCATCTGTACAGTGTGATGGACCTGAGACAGGTATCCAGCTGAGGAAGTCAATTTGTTGTTTTGCTGTATTAACTTATCCACATCCTTCAAAATGCAAATATGTGTGTTTTTGTTTTTTTAAGATAGCAGAGGGTCAGTTTGCAACCCACCTGATGACACTTTTGCAGTTTGCCTCCAACCATGTTTTCCAGTGTGATCTGTGTACACAGCGTGGCTTCATTTGCCAAATATGTCATGCAAATGACACCATCTTCCCCTTTCAATTTGACAGCACCACCAGGTATGTTTTGGAGAACTGGGGCTGGTCCATAACAGACTTTGTTTTCTTCCATATAGTTTATTTTTTGTTGTTTCTTATTTATTTAATGTTACAATAATTGTGTTGTTCACCTTTCGTCTTTGGCTCAGGTGTAAGGAGTGTAAAGCTGTGTTTCATCGGGCGTGTAAGACTCCTGGTCTGGGCTGCCCTCGCTGTCAGAGAATGAAGAAATACCAGGAGAGGGACTGCCAGGACTGAGACCAGAAAGCAGGGTAGGGGTATGAAGATCAACACCAAGACCACCCTACTAAACAGACTAGACGGTAAAGTTCCAAATAGGCAAAGCTTTACGTGAAGTAACCTCAAGTGCACTTTTATGAAATGTGTAGCCTTCCCAAAATTACACGAACATTGAAGAGACTCAGTGCCACAGTAGCGCCTACATGTGGTGAATTAGTCAGACATTGCGCTTTACAATGCTCTTACCATGTGGCTAAATATTACTAACTGATACCTCTCTATACTGATGGCATCACGTGGAAAGTACTGCAGACTGTGTCTTGGAGATGGGTGTTGCTATTTAGCTATAAAAAGTGCCAGTAAACTTTTTTTTCCTAAAGGTTGTTTATTGGTAGTTTGAGGTATCAGGAAATTTATGGGCAAGAAAAGCAGTGGCACACGGCAGTAAAATGTAAAACTAGACTGTTTATCAACCAAATGACTACATCCATTTCTCATGCACAGTCTATGCACAAGACAGCATTGTAGGTTACTGCCAACACTTTTATGTACTACGTTTTTGGTTTTTATTTTTTTCTTTGTATCATTGTGTTAAATGCATTCTTAATATGTCATGTTTACCAGAAACCTGCCCTGTGTCCCACAAAAGCAGATAGAAATAACAACAGAGTGCAGGAGTGAGGTTGTGGCTTTTAAATGCAAAAGTGATGAAAATAGATCCTGAAATGTTCAGACTTACATCATTGTGCCTTCATTAGTTAAATTTAATCTTTTCACTACTTCGACATGGACTAAAGTGGGGCCAAAAGCTATCATCTGGTCATTGTTGTCTTAATTGGGGGCAGCAGTGGCTTAGCGCTTAAGGAAGCGGACCTGGGTCCGGAAGGCTTCAGGTTTGAGTCCACTAGCTGCCAAGTTACCACTGAGGTGCTCTGAGAATGGCTCCGTCCCCACACACTGCTCCCCGGGCGCTTAAAGCTGCCCACTGTTCACTTTGGTGATGGGTTAAAAGCAGAGGTCACATTTTGTGGTGTGCTGTGTTACAATGACAAATAATTCATTATAATTTAATTAATTTTAATGAAACTATATGGCAAAACTACACTTTATTATCATTTTCAGGAATTTTTCTCTCAACAGTTTTAATTTTAATTTTACAGTGGTGTTGATTTGATTTAAATGATCTAAATGTCTCATATTTGTTCTGCTGCTAACCAAACTGGGCTACGTCATGAAGATTCTGATGTGAATAAGGTATAAGAATGAAGGATGAACAGACACGTCGGTGCAAGTCAAGCATATTTGGGGAGAGGGGAAAATTCCTGGATTTCACACAGATTCCTGAAGTCAAACCTATTTCTTTGCACTTTTGCACTTAGCTTTGACTGTTACCTGGATTTTGCAATCACAGTCGGAGTTGAAATATTCACGAGCACATTGAATGAAGTTGTTGAAATTTTTTTCATGGTGTTTTCTATTCACCTAAATTACTTTTACCTTGCATAGAGTATATATCACAGCATTATATTGTAGCTCAAGAGATTGTGTTGGAGTGAGCATGGAAATCAATAAATTATTGAAGATTTACTTATTAAATAAATTTTGATGTGTTCAGAAAATAATTGGTGAGTATGGCTACTGTAACATGTGTTCTTTGAGTGTATTTTTTATCTAATATGTATGCATGTGTGTGTAAATGATCAGAATGAAATAAACATGTCTCACTATTGTGCTTTGTTTCTCCTTTAGGCATGCAGGTTTAGTAATATTTTGGACAGACCTCAAGGACGATGGATGAAATATAAATGTACAGCAGTCTTTTAAGTTGACGTAGTAGTTAGTGTGTTTGGTGTTGTTGACAATAATGTCACATATAGTGACCTCTCAGCTCCAGTCTTTTAATTATTGTATATGATGTGCAACTGAGATGCTTTAAATGTGCTATTTCTATTATAAATGTACTATATTATAAATGTATTTGTAGGCTTTTACTATATATTCGATCTTTTATTTTAAGCCTGTGCAGAGCACAGGTGTTTTCAATGACCCCATTAGAGGAATGAGCTCCACCTGTGTCTCATCAGGACACATGGACATACAGTTATACTCATCAATTTAATACTAGTCCAGTTTTATCATATTGTATTTTAAAGCAGTTGATAAGACTCAACCATTAATGTGACGTATGGTGCAATTGTATGCGGCTTAAAATGAAAATAAATTAATAGGATGAGCAGCTTGACCCCTGAACGCACCACAGCTTCCTGTTCTGAAGTGCATAACTGTGCGGATCGCGATAGGAGGAGTAAACATCCTGAAAAACACGTTTCACCTCAAACCAGCTCGGTTGGATTTTCTCCTCGCCGTAACAGCAGCTGTCGCTGTCTCACTCCCTCCTCCACCTCCTCAGTTCTTCTGTCTCCCCTTGGCTGGGAAACGTTTTACTTGTTTTTATTTTAGAGGTGAGTCAGAGCTCAGGTGAGGTAGGATGGATGCTGCTGGTGCGGATAGACAGGCGGCGGTGAGCCCGCAGGAGCGGAGCAGCCACACGGCCTTCATAGACAACAACACTCTGTATGTGTGGGGAGGTTACCGGGTAAGAAGCGTCCCTGTGTCTCGGTGTCTGTTTCTATCTGTGGGGCTATTTTTCCAGTGAGGAGTTGCGTTACAAGAAAGTTTGTGTAGTTTCTGTCGGACTTTCTGTTGATGCACAAACATTTCTGCACCAACTCGGTGCTAATTTCAAGTGGGACAGCGGAAGTTTAAACCATTTGGAAATTGATATTTCTCTATAATCATGAGGTTTATGTTAAAAAAAACCCACGTAGAACTTTATGATTTAAAGTTGTGACTTAAATTGCAATACATAAATAACAAACTAAGCTTTAAAGACAATTTAAAGATTATTGCTGGGACTTTGATATTACTGCAAGGTTTTATAAAGAAAAAATCTTATTTTTTACATTTATTTGCTAAACATTCAAACAATTCAATTCCCAATAGAAGATTAGCTCAATTTGCAACCTACAGTGTTAAAATGAACATCAACAGTCACTCAATGACGTAGATTGCATCAGAAATTAAAACATTATAGCCGACAGTCTGTATAAATCTAACTATATTTCACGACCATGATAGCTGTCAAAGTGTCTTCTTTTGTTAACCCAGAGGCGTTTAGGGCATGCTGAAGCAGGAACTGACTGAAGACTGTATGTCTCTAAATGTGGGAAATAACAGTCGTAGAAAAAAAATATTTCAAATGAAACCATACATTAATAGACGCTACCGACCATGTCACAGCAGTTACAATGACCTCCATAGTGTCTTTGTATTGCAGTATCACTGACATCTTTCAGACATTTTGTCTGTTACGTTTTTCTTCTTCCCTACTTTTATACAGGTAGTTGCTGGAGCAGATGTCATGTTGCCCAGTGATGAGATATGGCTCTGTGATTTGTACAGTGGGACCTGGTAAGACTCAGAGAAGCCTTGTTTTATTGGCTCAGATTTACACATCTCCTTGACATTGTTCTGACGTGTTTTGTGATAATCAAATCTTTTTTAAAAATATATGTTCTATGATAGGGAGCGAAAGGAGATCAGTGGCAGTGAAATCCCCCAGGACTTGTCAGGGTTCTGTGGTGCTCACGTCAACAGCACATTTTACGTTTTTGCGGGATGTGATGGAGTGGGCTACACCAACCAGGTTAGCAGCAGTTTGTTAACTTTATCCTTACTGTATTAAAAACCTAAGTTTGTATGTAAACTAATATGTTTGCAAGATAAAAAATATAATCCCACACTGACCCGGTGCTATTTAGACAGTGCTCTCACTATCATCAAGGTCTTTTCTATATCATCTGACTGTTCTTGACTGTTCTCTCTACTCCAGGATTTACAGCTGAGACACATCACATCAGCAGTGGGAACTAGTACCAATGTGTTTTATTTTTGAATTCATAAACAAGTTAAATCTTGTGCTGATGTGCTTTGCTCAGACAACAGCTGAAATACGCTTGATGAACTGCCATAAAAGACAAGGCTGTGGTGTGTCTCCTTTCAAGATGGAGTTTAGAAAATGTATTGTTCTCAACATTCATATGTAATATAACCCTGTTTATTGTACATCACAAGAACCAAGGAAAATGTTATTTCCCTCCAGGTGTCTTCAAGGATTAGGGAACTACAGCTATGGTACAAACCTGATCTAGGCCAAAAAAAAAAGAAAAAGATGAGGAAAAACATGGTAACTTGCTCATGTTGGAACATGAATTTTGAAGGACAAGAGTGGAAGAACAAACATAGTAAAATGCTGTGAGACATGGGTATGGAAGAAGGGAGTGAACGAGGGACAACAGTTCTGTTCTTATCAGACTGCCACTGGTCTTTATTACCCTGTTTACACTGGAGGCTCTTGGTCTCATCCTTATTTAGCCTTTAGGACTCCTGAGGTTCATTATGTTTCCCAGGAGACAGTGCATGAGGAAGTGGACATATAGGGGCTGGATGTATTGCAACTACCACAATCCTCAGTACTCTTTACTGTAGGGATATAGACTTTTCTTTCTCCATTTTAATCTGGTTTGATGCTGGTTACACAAATATTGTCTGTGACTGGATATTTTACCAATTAGATGATGTGAACTGTTTTGCAGATGTACAGTGTTGACCTGTCAGAGTCGACTCTTTCATGGAAGAAAATGACTGACAACAAGGGTACAACGCCGTCTCCAAGAAACAAACACTCCTGCTGGGTGCACGGGGACAGGTCAGCTCAGTCTGTGGGAGAGCAAACGTTATGAATGCAGGTGAATCACAGCTTCCTTCACTGACCCTTCACGGTTTTTTTTTTTTTTTTTCTTTGTTTGTTTGTTTGTTTTGTTTTGTTTTTGTCGGTATAGGTTGATCTTCTTTGGAGGATATGGATGCAAGACCATTGGGGAAGTCCGAAACACTTCGTCCTCCAGCTTTGTTGTTGAAGAGATGTCCTGGGTAACTACGTTAAAAGTAACTAAAACTCACCCATCAACCTGTATGTGCCTCTCAACGTTTTGTTCCGTAGACAACAATTGGAGACACGTTGTTCAGGTGCTGGGGCTGGAACAATGAAGTCAATGTGTTTGACACACACACGGCATCATGGAGCCTGCCTGAGACTCAGGTGGGTGGAGCATGACAGGTGTGAAGGACCGTACATTTACTTTCCTCTTGTCTGTATTTAAAATATTTTGGACAGTTACAACCAATTGTGAGTTTAAAATATGTGCGTTAAATAATGTGTGTTACATGCAGGGTCTGGCTCCTGCCCCCAGGGGCTGCCATGCCAGTGCCCTCCTGGGGAACAAGGGTTACATCTCCGGTGGTGTGGTGAGTTTCCAGAAGCTTATCTTTTAGGTTTGGCCTCTTGATTGCCCTTGCTGATTAAACCCACATATGTTCCATATAAGAGAAATATTTTCTTTTAGAGACAATGGCGTGTTTGTAAATTGGTGGTAATATTTTGGGGGAGGTCCTTTTCCTGTTTCAACATCCCTTTCCTGTTGTGATGTCACGCTGCCCCTGTGCTCTAACAAATTCCCATATAAGTTGATTTCTCTGGTTTTGTGTGGGAGAATGTTTCATGAATGACTGACCTTTGACCTCTCACAACCTTCAACAAGACAAATGAGTAGAGCCGTGACACTGATTATTAACCAGGCCCTGAAACTCAGTTGCCTGAGTGAAATGTCTTGTCTGCATGCTTTGGTGTAATCTAACTGTAGAGTCAGGCCAAATGTTTCTTGTGATGTTTATCACCATTGGATTGTGGACCAAATTTTTAAATCTTCTTCATTTAGTTTGCCTCAGAATGGTTTAAATCCATATGAACCAGTGTAAAACTTACAGTAATGTAAAGACTTTTAGCTTATTTAATTTACTGACAGTAACCATGAATCTGTGTCATTATTTATAGGAGACGGTGGAGTTAGACATGTTTTCCTTAGACCTGGAAACCTGGACCTGGACTAAATTGTAAAACTTTTTTTTGCTTTTTAAAACATTTGACTGTTCCACATCTTTCCTGTCACACATCTTTACCCTTCACTCTTCACTAGTGACATCCCTATGTCCTGCTCACCAATGGGGCGCTCCATGCACACCATGACGGCCATAGCTGATCACTCTCTCCTTGTGTATGGAGGCCTGGGCACAGACGGAAGCACTCTGAGTGAGTCTCGCTCTCCAGCTGTTTCTGCTCTGATCGTTTTTAAACACATAGTAATCTTTGGTTGTCAACAGGGGGCGATGGTTCTGTTTAATATCTGTAATATCTACATTTTATTGTTTGAATCCAGATGATGCCTGGCAGTTCAACACATTGAGGAAAGAGCGGATCAGGATGACACATCCACACATGGACAAACCCAGGTATTCAGTTTATTAAAAAAAAAATGAAGAAATTTGAGTATTATTGCATTACAAGGAAAGCAAGTAAATATACAATACAGTACGTTGTATTTAGCAAAGAGCTAACGCTTTTAAACTGTTAGACTCAGACCAGTTTCCAAAAACATGTGAAACTTTAATGTGGCCCTTTTTCCTGTTCTCTGTTTTCTTCAGAGTCTGTCACACTGCCAGTGTAGGGAGTGACAGTGACATCGTTGTATTTGGGGGGAGCAGTAATCTCTGTATCCTCATAGATACGGTAGGTGATGGCTTGGGTTTTTTTGTTTTTTTTAATGCATCCCAGAAATCCCTGCCCATTATCTCTAATGTCAATAACTCTTTCCAGTAACACTTTATAGACCATTGTGAAGGTTTGTGACTTAAAATATGGGTCCCCAGAAAAAAAGTTTGGGAAACACTGTTATAGACAATAACAGTAACAAGTTGAAGCACTTGCCTTTCAAATCAAATTCCTTCAACTTGTGACGTAGGTGTACTTTCTCCAGGCCAACTCCAATTGTACACTGTTACATAAGATGTCCTAAGTATTTAAGAAGGATTCAAGTGCACTGAGGGTTTAATGCAGTGAATACACACGTGAAGACAATAGGTTTATTTAGAAATCTGACAAAATAGCAGCTGCAAACAGGACTATTCACTTATTGGCACTTCATTTTGCATTTTTTTCCCCTGTATTTTTCTTTATTGGATTCCATGCATCTGTGTACTTTTTTAAATGATAACATTGAAATCAGCAATAATAAAATGTCCACTGGAGTGTGCAGCACAGTTGATGATATATTAAGACTAGACTAATGGTATTTAATAACACTCACTACTGTATTATTTGCCTGTGGTTGTTGCCTGTACCAGGTGGCTGTTCTCAGGGCTCCATCACAACATCACTGCAGTGACATCATCATCTTCCAGACACAGCCTTACTCCCTCTCCAGGTACAGTAATCCTCTTCTGTTTCCTTTCTTTTCTCCCCATAATGAAACTCGGTATCAGTTTAACACTGTGTAATAGCACAGATCCCCCCACCTCTGTGTACTGCAGGGGTCTGAACTGGTCCTGACCTGAAGTTTCACTCACAGTTTATGTTTGGAACAAATTGTGAACACCTTGCTGAGCACACGTGAGGAGTTGTTTACATGTTCTCTGCAGCCACGCATGAGTGAGCAGTTTAAATAAAAGCCTGCGCTGCTGGTTAGACGCTCAGTTATTTACATTCTTTCTCTAAGCTGCTCTCTGTTTGGCCTCTGTTTGTTGATTCATGTCAACGAGCTTTAAGTTATGTGGAGTCACCAACAGAACAAGCTTGGATGGATCAAAATGTTGAAAGGGAAGAAAATAGTGAAAAGAGTAATATACTGGTTAGTACTTTACTCTGAAAACCTGAGCAAAGTATTAGAAAATATCTGGTCCGTCTGCCTCCACAACTACATTTGCCTGTTGGGGAGGAGATGCTACAGGTGTAATTCTTGCATGAGATTGATTTACTGGTGTAGAACACAGCAGTATCTGACAGTGATGCGACTCGCATGTCACCGGCTGTTGTGAAAGCAGTTGGAGGCTGAAGAAGGAGAAGTTCTGTAAGGTAAAAATGTTGAACGCCCCATGTTGTAGATGTTTCAGAGAAGAATGTAGATGTGAAGCTGAAAATGTATAAATATATATATTTGGTATAAAGCCACAAATGTTAGTGGGGAATAATACGTCACCCTGTCCAACTGTCATAAACTCCTGTCTTAGATGTTTCCGTCACAAGAAGCATTTCATGTAATCAAATGACAAATCGTTAGTCATTAAATCCAAAGACATTATTTGTTTAGAAAGTCTTTTAATTGTGTTAGTAGTTTAAAAAAACAGGTTTAATTTTTTTGTATAAGTTCAAGTAAGGTAAGAGAAGAGGGAAAAGGGTAACTTTGTATTGTCTTAGTTTGCGGTGTTTACAGTTCATGGACCTACACTAAGGTTCATTTAACCTTGCCCTTGGTTGATACCATTCGTCATCACTGACCCTGTTGATGAACTGCGTGTTCTCATCGGAACAGTAATACAGTATGTTTGACAGATCCTTTTAAATTGAAGTCATTCTTCCCCAGGTTGTGCGAGGACTTTGTGGGGAAGAATCCTGGACTGTTTGTGATTCAGCTGAACTGGCTGCCGTCAAAACTGAGGAGCAGAGTGGATAAAAGAGTGGCCTTTTACTCCAGCATGACGCCTGTTCATACAATCTGAGGACTGTTTTAGGAAGCCGTTCTGTGGTTTATAATGAAAATTGTGATAGTTTAATTGTTTTAACTTAAAAAAAATTGTAAATAAAGTCTGTCTTATTTTTAAAGATAAATCCAGTAAAAATATTTTTACTAGTATTGATTTAAGTGCCATGTGTTTTTGAATAAAGTTGTGTTGATGTATAATGATGTATGTTGTTATTATTTCCAAAAGACAAACTATAATTCAGGAGTTGTATGATATGTGGAACAAAAACTGTGGAAAAGGGTGAGTTTGTTCAAGAGATTTATTGTATTTTTACTTTAACAAAATGTTTGGGAAAAGCAGTTTTCTGTTCAAAGTATAGGATACTTATGAATTGTGTTTGATTCTTTACCAGATCAAGTCATTATAGAAACCAATCTGTACGTGAGGGAATTCTGCGAACAAAGGCACAAATGTAAGCAGTAATGACTTAAATAACTTGTCAAATGTGTGATGTGGCAACAAGGACTAATGGTATTGAATGACATCTAGTGTTTTCCTACACAGGTCGTACATAGTTGGCAGGCAGCATTCCTCTCTGTCCAGTGCGTTGGTTGCACCCGAACATCCAGCCCTCGTCAATTTGCTCCACGTCTAAGATCAGATCTCCCTCTATCAAAGAGACTTCATCAGCTTCTGCTGCTGTGTAGCTGTACAGCGCCTGGTAACGCTTCTGCAAGTACAGGAGGAAAGGCAGAATGGACATAGTATATTAAGTATTTTCCTTTGGACGTAAACACCCAGAACTTATCAAATACCTCGTGACCTATGCACTTGTCCTCTCCATAAGAACCTATTGCCACAAAAAAAAGGTAAAACTGCTGAAAGCTAAGCAAAGTATTACTCAGGTGTGCAAAAATAAAAATCTTTGAAAGAACTGTAGCAATTATTGCCCAAAAAGTGGCATTGTAAAACAATTGCTAAAATAAGGAGATTGGCCATAAAGTGAAACTAAAACAAATCTGGGGTCAACTTTCAAGAGACTCGAGACACTTTTTTTCTACATTTGACCTGTAACCTAAGGAAACACAAAAAACTAGAATGATCAAATGTTTGTTGTTTTAATGATATCCATGTAATATTTCCATTGTGGTTTTTGTGTTGTAATAGGCTTACCCCTCCACCAGATGGCGCTACAGTAGCTGGGTGCATCTGTCCAGCTGGCGGCCTAAAAACTTCAAGGTGGGCTGCTTCCTCTTCACACAAACACAAACAGAGATCAACACGAATGTGCATCGATACACACCTTAAATGCGACACACGTGCGTCGCTTCTCACCTTGTCTGTTCTCAGGAGGAGGTGCGTCACTTCGAATTTTGCTCTTTTCAAACTCTTCATGGTACTTTATCTGCGCGCACAGACAGTAACACATTTTTATTCCACACGAGGGCGCTTTTGAACATAGAGGCCCCTCACAGTGGCAGCAGCTCATTATTTTAGGAGGATGCACGACATCGTTTACACAGACTGATGTTCTTTGTTATCCCTAGAACTCCCGTTATGTATTATTTTAATCATATAGTACCCAGTAGGTGGCGCTCTTGAGACAACTAGACACCAGAGGGAACACTTTAAATTTTAATTGTCAGCAGTCAATTGGTGATGTGACTGATTTATGAAAAATCACTGACTCCTATGAGTGTGATGTGTTCACGGGATAATAAAAAGGACAGAAACATTTCAGGAGCCAATGGTCTAGAATTTGACTTGCACAAGGAAAAAGCAGGACAAGAGTTAAATGTTTGGTGTACTGTAGCTTTTAGAGGAAGATGAATGTCAATGAAGGAAAACAAGAGGCAGCTCCCTGTATCCCCAGAAGACCTCGAACAGAAAAACAACTGGTGGGAAAAGGACAAAAAGCGTGAAGGGGCAATTAAAAAGAGGCCAAAAAAAAAAAAAAACACACTGAAAGGATAGAGGGAACAAGACCGAGAGAAACCCAGAGAGAAGCAGTGAAAAGAAGCTGTGTTTTTAGCCTTTGATGCAGCTCAGCAGTCATCATTCCTTTCTTCTACTGCTGCTCAGATGACAAGAAAAAGGAGAAAGTTTGTGTTTGAGAATGGTATGCATGGGTCTACCAGTTTAGTGTTTATGTATGTGTGTGTGTGCACGCACAGTGGAGCTGTCCACAGCTGAGAGACTTTGACCATATAGGGCAGCTGCTCCTCAGTGGACAGAGGGGAGAAATGCCTGCAATGTGCCTGTGTGTTTCTGCAGGATCCTTCCCTGACATCTGTCACTGCAGTTTGTTCTGTCTGCTCTGGTCAAACCAGCCTGCAACTCCTCCAACCTAAACCTGTGGAGTGACTGCTGATGTAGCTGCCCATTTACTGTAGACAAAAAGTGACCTTTTTATTTTTACAGTAACTCTTCAAACCCATGACTTCACACACTCCACGTGTTACACAGCTCAAGGTTAAGTCTGTGCACAAACAGAAATCAGGAGTGTCTGTGAAGTTTTCTCATGCATCCAGGTCATGTTATCCAGAGAGTTTAGTTGTAAGCGACTGGACTTCTTCTTGGAGGTTGGAGGTTCCTCATTCCTCAGTTGAGGAACGAAACGTCTTTCAAGCTCCAGGAAGTCCAGTTGTTTACAACTGGACTTTCTAGATAGAAATCAGGGGTGTTTTTTTCTTTAACTTCTCGATGTGACTGCGCCTACGTTACTGATCTGGTCTTGCGTCTTCTTCAACCTCTGCATCTCTGGAGTGTCGGCCACCACGCTGAACCCTTTGCCCTTGTTCTTCTCAAACTCCTCCTTGTAAAGAGCCTGAAAATAAACAGTAAAAAAACAGATTTTTTTGTGAGACAGGGTTGTAGTTGTTCAACAAGATTATTAAAGGGATCATTTTGCACGAGGTTCTATGACACATAATGCCATAGCGTTTGGGCCTTAAATCCATCTGACAGAACATCTGAAGATCACTGTTGATACACTGTATAGACCTGATTTTCTATAGCACAGTAGCAGAAGGCAGTCACTACTTTAACAAGGCAGCATCAATAAAACTGACATCACCAAAATAAATGCAACTTGACTTGGAAAGCACTTAGTAAACATTAGGCTCACTGCTCTGTGAATGTACAACAGTGAATGTCAGTTTGGAAGGGAAATAACATAATTTGTTTGTGTTAACCACATTTACATAAATACTTAAAAAGACTAAATAATACTTGTTTATCAGGATGTCCTAGCACAAAGATAACTGCAATACTAATTCATACAACTGTTTATTTGGGGGTAAATATGACACCAAAACACACACACACACACGAGTCATGCTGTTGCTATGATAAATATGCTCACAGAGAGAGAAGGAGGGAGAGAGAACTGAACAGCACGACTTTTATGGTTATAAACAAAGAACTGGGTTGGATGGGCGACAGACGGAAACACACACACACACAGAGAGAGAGAGAGGAGAGGAGAGAGTTTTGGTGTAAATCTAAACACACTGTCCACCTACTGTACATCTGTGTGACATAGTAACAGTTTTTCTTTTTGGTATTTTGTGCAACTTTTGGTAATTCGTGGGTCAATCTGTTGCCTGCAACAATCACGTCACTCCCTTTTTACTGGTTGTTGCTGTTTTTAGATAATATCAATAATATGATGTATATATTTGTTCACTTTAACCAATTTCTTTGCTATAGTGCGTAGTGCTGTTCCAGAGGTCAAGTGAAGCAACTTGTCACTTGTCTGGTCACACAGCTCATTTAATGTAAGTAGCAAATAATTGTCTCCAGCTGTGTTACAGACTGAGGGCTAAAGGAGCACAGACAGAGACCTGGAGACACAGTCGATGAATCTCAGTGAGATAACACAGGCAGACACAGTGAGCAGGAGTGAAAACAGAGACGGAGTGACAGGAACTGTCCCCTACCTGACTGTTGAGCATGCTCTGCTGCTTCAGGCGTAGATTCTCAGGGGTGTCAGTCACAATGGTGAAGGAGGTTTTAGGATAATGCCTGTAAAAATAATAATAATAAAAAATACAATTTAGTGGAAAAAAGAAAATAAAGTCAAATTGGAGATAAAATATAAACATTGATTGATTGACTGACAGCTGCAGTAGTTGCAGTGTGCACACATTATAGTAGTTTGTCTCTTTAATATTTTAAAATGAAGACTTTCTCAAAGACATTACTATAAATCATTAATAGAATATCTTTTATTGATCTCTGGTCCAGTCAGACTGTTATCAGCTTCTTCCACATTAACTCAGAGTCTTAAAGTCTTACATGGTGCAGTAAGGTTTCTTCTCAAATCCTTTGTAGTTGTTCATACTTAGTGCCATCTTGCACACCTCACAGCTGAAACATCCTTTGTGCCAGTACTTCAAGCAGAAAAGGACACACATTAAAAAAAAAGCAATTGACAGTAACCATTACTTGGTCAAAGTGCATCTAAACAGCTCTCAGAGACACTAAAGGTCACAGTCTCTCTCTCTCTCTCTCTCTGTTCTTGACCATAGTTCATACAGCAAATGTGGCTTCCTTTCTATTCACTTCAGTTTTGCTTTGGAGAGAGTTCTTCAGCAATTAAATTAGATTTTTGCTACAGATTGCTTGACGGTTGCTGCAAAAAACAAACAAACAAAACACAATTCCTTTTTGTATTTGAAAAATCTCCACTGTCAAAAGTCCTTGTTTTAAGTCTTTACTGACTGCTGTCCCTACAGATCATTCCTATGCAGTGCTCAAATGATCGTAATATTTCGATAACGTCATCCACTACCATAAGTTATTCGGGCTTGAATTTTGTCGTCATCTCACCTTATCAAGGCAGTTGATTTTCTCTGTGGGGTACACTGGTTTCTTGCATCTTCCACAAGGTGGATTCATGCTGGTGCAGGGATCTCTCCAAAATATGACTTATTGGTAGAAAATAATAATTATAATAAAAGCTGGGACGCACAATATCATGAACAAACTTTCTTAAGTGCAGGGAATCTGTTTGATAAACGGACAAAACCTCTGGATGAGGAGGGGTCTGAGAAACAAGAGGGTGGATGGTCGAATTTTCAGCATGCTGCGTTCAAGATCCCCCTGAAAAGAGTGGAAATAAGAAATGCCAATAAATAATATGTAGTCACAGGGTATAACTAAAATTGTAAAATTAATGTTTTGGGTTGTGTTTTTTTTTGTTTTTTTTTCAGATAACTCTTCAATCCATAACTTTTGATGAGTTGCTGAAGTGAAATGTAATTACTACCTGTACTGTTTCAACTTCCGCCTTTTATTGTCACTTGAAGGCAACATGCCGAAAACCTTTACTGGGTAAGTACGTTTATTACCGCAATCGTATCATATGATACTTTACACTTAGTGTTGTATACATACTGTGAATGAAATGCATTAATAATACAGTAAATATAATAGAAAAAAGGATACATGTGTTTCTCACAGAATGTAAACGCAAGTTAAATATAAAAACACAGACACACTCATATGACCGCTAGAATATACAAAGTTTTATATAACATTTGAATAATAAAACAACACCAACATGTAATTATAAGGAGTTAATTGAAGTAAAAACACGGATTCGGATTTTACGTTTGTGGATAGTTGGCGCCCTCTGTCGGACACTGTGACAAAGTAAAACTGCGCATGTCATGCATGGCTTTTCGGTGGTTAAACCCAGAGTAATGACGGAGGCATTTCCCAAGACTTGTGTATAATGAAGACATACTGCAGCATGTCGTTAAAACGCATTTAAATTGTTAATCAACGATGCACTCACAAACAAAAATCATCTTTGTTTCTCGAAGTGCTATATTCAAGTAGAACAGAAAATCTTTTTGCATGCATCGGGGGTATAGCTCAGTGGTAGAGCATTTGACTGCAGATCAAGAGGTCCCCGGTTCAAATCCGGGTGCCCCCTCATTTTTTTAGCTTGGTAGTTAAACATTTTGTTAACTTTGATTAATTCCACGTGTAAACTCGTGCTGACTTTATTAATGTCCATGCGAGTCACAGTTCAGTAAAGCGACGAGGAGGGGCATAATAGACTGCTAAAAGGGGCAGGGGAAACGGTGGGGGGTATTGAGAGAAGGCAAATTAGAGCTGGGATTCTAATTTAGTGTTTAGGGCTGCATAATAGAATGATAAAAGGGGCAGGGGAAACGGTGGGGGTGGGGGGTATTGAGAGAAGGCAAGTTAGAGCTGGGATTCTAATTTAGTGTTTTCTAATTTATCATGAATCCATATACTAGTTTAATTTGTGTTGTTTATTTCACGGAGTTAACAGCATGCAAATATATAGGATTTGCAACTGAAACCTACTACCCAGTGGATGGATGTGAAATATCTATATGCAGCCATGACATATTTTAGTGAGGGTGCATCTACGTGAAATAAACTGATATAAATATATTTAGAGTATATATGTCTACATATGAGTAAATGACAACTATTAGCATATATTTAGAATTGATATAGATTGGCTCTTGTGCCCCCTGTGTTAGGATTGTTTACTGACTATGACTGTGTCGTTGTCATGACGTGGACCGTCTGCCTCCAGCGTCGCGGTTTCCGGTTCTTGAGACACAGTGAAGTAGTACCGGGGCTGACACGGTGTCCGTTTAACTGGGATTCAAGTGCAATAATGGTATGTTATATTTATATCTGTTTATACGAGTTCCACTCAATGCTTATCATGGGTCATCTTCACTTACAGTACATTTTGACGCTAGGCATGGAGCTAATGTTAGCGGATTGTTTAAGGCTAGCCCCTGTTAATCAACAGGAGTGCATTGTTTGTCTTTGTTTTGTTTTGTACCTCTTACCGGTGAATGTTCAACGGGACACATGTTTGACTGTGGTAGTAAATGAATTTGAATAATAATAAGCTTAGATCAGCAGACCAAAGTTACACCAGCCACATTACAGATCATTATTGTTCTTACATAGCACATTAGGTAACATGTTTAAAGGTGCTTCGTCAAATGAAATGAAAACAAGACAACTGAGAACTAAAACGACCTACAAAGAGAACAGCATTGTAAAATATTCACATCTTTTGGTGAATAATGAATCAAGGTTGTTTGCGCGTGTGTGCGCGCGTGTCCCCGTGCTAAATGTACCAGACAGTCCACCGTCCAACAGGATTTTAAGTTTTGATTACTCCTGCCTCTGATCCGCTTTTAATAAGTTAGAAGTTAATAGTCATTGAGTCGTTTAAACCAGAGGAACCAGGCTGTGCTTACGGCAGGGTAATTTTATTTACGGATGCTTTGAACATTTTGCATATACCACTTTATGTTTCTCACCTTTTTAAGTCTGTGTACGTGCATCGTGTGGCCGAGTGGAGGCGTCAAACCTCACTTGTGGTCAGGTGACAGCTGTAGCTCTTCAGTAAACACAGCAGGTGCCTCACCTGTTGTCTAAATCTTTGGCTGACAGAAACATAAATATGATAACAGCCTGTTGTTGTCATCCTACTCTACCACCAAGTGGGCCACTTCTGATATACACTACTGGGTCTGATATGAAGCCAACAGTTTGATAAGAACATTGATGAAATGCCGTAAGTCACATGATAACTCTGGTAAAGTTCCCTATCTTGTTTAGATTCTGTGATTAAAGTGCAGTTTTCAGCCAAAGCTCGGAGGCTGCTCTGAGGGTTCGTCTCACAGGGTGATCTCAAATAACTCTGAGACACTGCTTGTTTGAATACCTTTACGACTTAAGAGATGCGCTGGGAGATCAGAGCAAGTCTGAGCCTGTGGCACTTATATGTGAAGGAGGAGGGCTGCTGCTGCTGTTCAGCTGTGTGCAAAAAGGTGCACTAAAAAGAAACAAAAGTGACACCATCTTTGTCCTGAACTGGAACAGTTTAAGTCTCAATGTGTTGTGACATGGAGAATCATCCTTTGTTCCCACCGCATCACCTTTTCTATCAACATCTTTTAGCCCCAAGGTGTAATTTACACAGGACCCAATCAAACGCCATGAGAACAGAGTATCAAATATGACACCCAGGGAGGTGTGAAGGGGCTGAGGTGACTTTTTGTTCTACTTCTTTCACCATGAACCTGAGCAGTTTTTATTTAGATGACAAAGTGGAGCTCACACACAACTGGACATCTGTCAAAAAAAAAAAAGAAAAATTAAAGAACCACAATCTAATGATATAGTAATTATCATGCTCACAGCTCCTATTGGACAGAAGGAAAGAAACACTTGAAGTATCTGTTTTGTCTTGTGTCCAAGGTTGTTAACTCTGAGACTTCATCATATGAAGTTGTTGTACATGTCGTCATTTTGATTTTTCTTAGCTTCTGTTTACAGGGGAACAAATCATTATTTGTTTTTCAGGCCATGATGATGTGGTGACCTAGGCTGGGCCAGGCCATGAGATGATTGCAATTTTGCACAGAGAAAGGACGCAGCAGAGAGACTGAGAAAGAAGAATGGGCAGGAGCATCTGGGGCTTCTGGCAAAGCATCGTTTCTACTGCAGTGCTCTATGGCTCTTTGGCTCTCTTCACCTCCATCCTCCACAATGTCTTCCTGCTTTACTACGTGGAGACATTTGTGTCCGTCTACAAGATTGATAAGATATCCTTCTGGGTGGGAGAGGTGAGTGAGACAGCATTTGTCATGTAAACATTTTGCTTGTGGTGTGACCTTTACCACTCGTATATCTGTTGAATGCATGTAAAGCCACCAAGCCAAAGACAAACTGCTCCTTTGTGCTGTACAGTCAATAGGTTGCAAAACAATGCCCCTTGTTGTTATCTAAATCTTTGCTATCATTGTTAGTTTTTGAATGAGCAGCAACAGGGCATCACCACTGCATTTTTGCTTGGAACTAATGCTGAACAAGGTAGTATGATTGACATTTAAATGGATTGACAGCCCTGGTAAATACACACATTCTTATAGTTGCTTAACCAGTAATAATGATGGCCGTCGATTGTCCTAGTTTTTATGACCTTGACGTAGTGATTATACTATTTGAGCCAGAAGTGTTGTTAACATGTGAAATTGCTTTGACAAGAGCTTATTAATAATATCTATGTGTTTTGTCAATCGTCACTCTGCTATAGGCTCTGACTGATCAATGTTTACATTTTCATTGACTAAATATTAGGAGGGAGAGGTGTTATTAGATGTTTTAGTTCATTTTACGTATCATAATCTATCAGATCTATCTATTCGAAGCATTCCTCTTTGACCCTTTACATTTGCAGTTACCAAGCAGAGGGTGGGCTAAAATTGTGTTGTTTTAACTCTGACCAGTTTGGTAGTTTGTGCTGATGTTGACATAAATATGATTCAATATTGTCTGATGCTCCACAGACAGTTTTCCTGATATGGAACAGTTTGAATGACCCACTTTTTGGCTGGCTGAGTGATCGCTCCCTCCTCAGCTGTCCCCAGTAAGTGTCCACATCTTGTCTTGTAGTATGACACAGTTTATATTCAAGTGACTCTTCATGTTTGTCTGGTTATTTTCCTTCCAGGTCAGGCTCTCAGATCACATCTCCAGAGGTAGTGTTGAAGCGTCTGAGGGCCCTCTCTACCAATGGCCCTCTCTTCGCTCTGTCATTCCTGGCCTTCTGGGTGGCGTGGGCCAGGCCGGGCCTCCAGTTCCTGCTCTGCTTGTGTCTGTACGATGGTTTCCTCACCATGGTTGACCTTCAACACAGCGCCCTGATGGCCGACCTGGCCGTGTCAGCCTCTGACCGCACCCGCCTCAACTTCCACTGCTCAGTGTTCAGTGCTGTGGGCTCAGTCTCCGTCTTTCTCTCCTACTCTTTCTGGGACAAGGAGGATTTCTACTCGTTCCGTCTCTTCTGTATGGCCCTGGCAGCCTTTTCCATCCTGGGATTTTTCGTGGTTTCCAGAATGCTGAAGCATCGCTTTCAACAGGAACTGCATCCGAAGCAGGACGAGGCAGTGACGCTCAAAGAGTGAGGCTTTTGAAACAAATGAGATATTATTATTAGAAATGGTCGACTGCCTCCATCACATTTCATCTTCTTTATTCTGTTCCAGGCCCAACGTTGGCCACATTCCACTGAACCAACTGGAAAAACCAGTCACTATCAGTTTGTACCTCAAACAGCTGTCCAAACACAGGAACTTCATGTGGTTTGTTTCTATGAACCTTGTTCAGGTGAGGTTGCTGATGTGGATTATGATATAAATTGTGGAGATTAAGGTAAAGAGAGTGGGCAAGAAATCTAATTCTAAGGGTTTGGGTGGTTTTAAACAAATAATTTGTCATAGTAGTAACAAAAGACACATTCACACAATATATTAACACAATATTTAAATAATTTAATTATATATTTTAATCTTGATCTTTTTTCTAGGTGTTTCACTGCCACTTCAACAACAACTTCTTCCCTCTTTTCCTTGAACACCTCCTTTCTGACAACATCTCTGCCTCTACAGGTTCTATTTTACTGGGTAGGTTCCATCACAAAACAAAAAGAAACCCATACTTCAAGCTCTTCTAAAAACTAGACGAGATAAATCTAGGTTGAGCAATTATCACGGCGTGATCAGTAAATGGTAGAAACTCTGCAGTGTGCTCGTTGCCCAAGGGAGTGTTGGATAAAATGTTGTCCATTATTATAATTATCTATGAATCAATTGGCTCTAAGACCCAGGCTCCCCTTAGATCGTATCAGTGATTAAAAAGCTTGACTTTAAACAATGAAAACAAATTGTTTTCTGTCTCGGTTTTGTGTGGGTTTTTTTAATGGCTTTCTGTTTCTCTTATGCAGGAATCTCATACATTGCCCCCCATCTGAACAACCTGTATTTCCTAACACTGTGCCAACGTTATGGGGTTTACCAGGTTATTCGGTGGCTATTCATGGTCAAACTGGGACTTAGTTTGGTTATGATGCTGGCAGGAGCGGACCACATATACCTGCTGTGCATCTTTATTGCGAGGTAAGGACACAGCACAAACACCAATGGTCTAATACCAGACAGTTTCATCACTTGTTTAAATGTATGGCTATCAACACACTGTGACTGACTTAAACCTCTCTCCCTGCAGTAATCGGGTGTTTACAGAGGGCACGTGCAAGCTGCTAAAACTGGTCATCTCCGACCTGGTGGATGAAGACTATGTGCTCAACCGTCGTCAGCAGGCCGCCTCTGCTCTCCTCTTTGGAATGGTTGCCTTATTGACCAAACCCGGCCAGACATTTGCGCCGCTCATTGGCACCTGGCTGCTTTGTGTTTACACAGGTTGAATATGGAAACACAGGCATTGACACATTGTCTTTAAAACAAACAACACAACAAAAATATACTTTATCTAAATGTAATGATTGTCTACATTACATTATGCTCTTGCTGTGTTTTTTCTTATTTTGAATTTTTTTGTCCCCAGGATATGACATTTTTGAAAGGCAGTCTGCGAAGGACTCATTAATTTCAGTGCCTGACGTTGCTTCTGGCTCAGGGACTCCACCTTTACGTCTGGGCTGCTTCTACATGTTGGTGTTTGTGCCTATCACCTGTGCCCTGCTGCAGCTAGTGGCCTGGTCACGCTTCACTCTTCATGGCCGAAAACTGCAAGGAATCAAGAACATGAGGCAGTCAACCCAGCACGGCCACCTAATCGATGTCAAGGCCATATGAACAGTTTAAAGCTGCACACAGACACTTTTTTGAATAAAAGAGTTTTACAATTGTTGGATAAATGCTAGAACATTACGAAGCAGGAAACCACTGTCATTAGTTCTGGACACCTTGTGATCGAGGATATGGTCACCAAACAGTGTGACGGAGAGCACAATGGAAAATCTACAATGGGCTGACAAATGCCGCAGGAAGGAACATTTTCTTTAGTAAAACTTTATGAATCTTGCCTTATTTTTATATTACAGTATTGACCCATATTTATATTGAAGAGGTGACCAAAAGATGAGGTGCAATCAATCAGTTTGAATGTGTCCTACAATCTTAGAGAATACACATTAGCGACATCTGGTGGTCCATTAAATGATGTTTTCAAACGTTATTAACAGGAGTTTTAAAGATAAATGTTGAAGTGTCGCTGTGTTGGTTCTGCATGGATCCTTAAATTCAGACGTGAATTTAATAGTAGTTGTGTTTTGGGTTGTTTTTTTTTCGGACACAGAATGTCTTGCCATTTTGACATTAATACTGTGCTTCTTCTGTGATTTTGTTTTTGCACAAAGACTGCCATTTGTTTGTCAGACTTCTAACATTCTAATTTTGAACAGCTTTATATATGGTCATAATACAATGCTTTAATTAAATTACATTTGTAACTCTTTCAAAACTTCACTTTTGTAATTTTTTAATGGCTTCATGTTTAAGTCCAAACTTAATTGTGCCAAAATACACTTTATAAACCAAATCCAGATATGTGTTGTCTGTGTCTTTAAAGTCTTGTGCATGAGAAATATGCTTATGTTTAAAACGTTCTATTTTTTGTTGTTGTTATTATACAAGCTTGTTTTAATATTAACCCCATTCAGTTTGCACACTCTTTTGGTACTTTATTATCGCACTTTCTTGTGTTCAATGGAAGACACAGCTCTCCACACGATTATTATTAATATATATATATATATATATATATATATATATATATATATATATATCCAACATGTCACTCGTTTTAAATCTTAAACGACTTTTTACGTGTTGTTTATAATAATATTATATATATATAATATTGTTATTTCACTATAATTTAATAAGTGTATAACCGTAACAATCAGCTTTAGCGGTGTTGTTAAGCAATGAGCATGTGGGGTCCATTTTGACCCCACATGCTGTGACGCCATCCGGTTGTAACGGAAGTAGCTGTAGACTGTTTACTAACCGTCATGCACCGCGAAAACAGCAGCTTGTTTAATTAAACAAAGTTGTCTTTAAAAAACGTTTTATTTTCATTTTCGTGTATTTCAATGTTTAACACAAAAGTGACACATAGGTAAGTCCCTTAGTCGAGTTTACTCGAAACCGTCAGTGTAATATGTATGTACACGATTCTAGAAATCCATTCAAACGCTTTCTCAACAGAACACTCATGTTTCTCTTCAAATCGTATAAATCTTTCGCCTTTTACTAAAGATTTCCGTGGAGAGGAACAACATGAGTATAATCTAATTTTTTGTTGCCCTGCCTCGAGCAGGGCTCCTGTACTTGTCAAATGATAAAACAAGAACAAATATAAATTGATTCGAGTGACCACACCACGGTGTCCCATCTACATTGCAAGTGACGTCACTCTTGGTCATAACCCAACCTACGTAACTATTGGTTACGTGGAGAATAAGATACAAAAAATAGTTAAGACGACAGCAATAATTACTTGCAAAGCCAACGTTGTAAATAAAAGCTCCCGAGGAGCACAATATAGTTGTGTATAAAAAAGTATAGTTTATTTTTCCATATATTGAGTTTTTTATTAATTGTGTTTGTAATTTACGTATTACCTACAGTCAACTGATTATTAGTTGATGTGAAATTAACACCAACCAAAAAGTTAAACTCTGCAGTGCATCCAGTACTGTAGTTTATAATGCAATGAGTTTTTCCTTGTTGTCCTTCCTCTAAATATTTCATATTAAGATTGCAGAATGGAAATAACGACTTCTCAAATCGCGGTACTTTAAATGGTTGTTGCCTTTTCTGGCAATGACTCACAAGAACACTCACCGAGAACAGGAAGTTAGACAAACCAGCAGTAAAATGAACAGATGTAGTTCTTCACGCTCTCACATAAACACACAAACACACACAGACGCAGAGGACTGCTTCAATGAAAAACATCCATCTACAGGAACAGAAAACCAGGCAAGTAAATTAGTTACTAACTGTATGTATTACTAAATAATGATTACTTTTATGTTGTTATGTTATTGGTAAAATTGCAGTATGTTGAATGAATTCACCACTTTACACATTATATTGATTTGTCAATTATATCAGTATTTGCTTTGTTTGCCTTGGAAATTCATAATTTATTTTTTATATATGTATATAAAATAGTTCAACATTATTTGTATTGTTCCATAGATTTGATTTGCATTGCCAATAATCTATTTTTCAACTCTCATATAGTTCTAAATTTTTTAACCCTAGTAATGTAAAAGCATATGAATTACTTGTGATTTTTCTAGTGCTGTAATTAAATTGTTTAAGCCTCGGGTGATTCTTCTGCAGAGTGCTTTATGTGTAAAACAAAGCCAGAGAAAGCAAACTGAGATTGATGTCAGGTGATGTCAGGCTCATACAAAGCTGAGGATGGTGCAGACTTCCTGTTTAGTGTTCGAGCCATTTCAAAGTCTGCTGTTTTGTGGTCGCTGTAGATTAAGGCTACGGAAGCAACTTCCTGCATGTTCCTGTGAAGAGAATTTGTCTGTTCTCTGACTCATGCACAGCTCAGTGTACCATTATTAGGTTTAATAGCTTATTAAATGGAAAATTCAATCAGTACAATAGCTCACTGTCACATTCTGGGTAGGATTGGGAACTGATGCAGGGTGTTTACTGTATCTGACCAAAACAAAAATGACAAACAAATGTGACAGATGTCATGATAATAATCTGAATATCTTCCAAAAAAGGTCAATCTTTTGGTTAGATGGAGATATTTCTGTATTCAGGTATTGCCAACTTAACATTTTTCTTCTATGTTGAACTCTGTTTAAACTCCATGTAACTTTAATAATCATAAGGGTAACAATAAGAGGAACATAATGTCGTGTGTGATATTCCTCTTCCTATTATTTTTTGTAATTGTTTTCTTTTTCACAGGCTGGGAGTGTGGTTAGTCCTCATGCCTTACAGGATTTCTGGTTGAATACCTGGAGGTAAGTGACATGGTCATTCTGTGTAGAGCTTTCAGTTTCATGTGTCTTCTGTTTGACATGGTATTTAGTTGGGTTTCTTTTTTTCCTAACCAACACCAGTTACACATTTCCTCTGTTTGCAGCTCGGTGATGTGCAGTGCTTGTTGACTTGAGCCTCAGCAGGCATGGAGCTGGTGTCAGTTCAGTATAAGTTTGAGTACACAGCCAACGATGGCCGCCTCGTATCCATCAAGCCAAACGAAAGCTACATCTTGGTGTCGAAGACCAACAAGCATTGGTGGCACGTCTGCAAGGACCAGCGGAGTAAACCATTTTACATCCCTGCACAGTACGTGAAGGAACTTTCACCCAACACTGGTGCAGAGGAGCTGCAGTCACCTGAAGGTGTAGCTGACAGGACAACATCATCTAAAGCAGTATCAGCAATTCCTGTTCCAGTCCAAGTGTCTTCAAGAGGGAAGTATCGCTTCTCTACTTTTGGTTTTGGTGAGGACCTGAAATTTCAGAGCCAAACCGAAGGAAGCTTGAGCAAAAGAAACAGCATCTGCACCTTCGTACCTACTGTTGATAAAATAAGACACACCTCAGCAGGCAATGTCTCCATCACCTCAGCCACCCTGGACACGGATGAAATGAAAGTGTCCAAAAACCCACATCCTTTGCCAAAGGTGGAGAATGGACAACCACAAAAGACAAGTTCACAGGAAAATATTTTTCTAGATACTTCCTTCCCTTCACCTCCTACCTTTCTTGTTCATGACACGGTACCAGAGATCACCATAACTGAATGGGAGGACTTTTCTGAGCTGCCTCATCCTTGTCCTGATCCTGATCCTGATCCACATCCTTCAGATGAATGTGGCCAGTCAAAGTCGGAGCAGCAGAACAAACAGGTAAGGTTATACTGATATTTCAGTCCTAAATTAATTGTATTTGTGTTTGTGTTAATGTCACCCTTTGTAAACACATCCACTAAATACATTTTAAAAGATATGTGAAATGTGAAGATAAAAACCGTGTACGACCTGCACAACACTAGATGTCGACATAGTCCTGGCTGTTAAAGAATGAGTTTTCATTGTTGCCTCAGACACTAGGAGGCGCAGCTTTCATCACTCACACAGAGACCAGCAGCTGTACAGTGTATAGAAACCGTCGTGTTTGGTTTAGTGGGTACACTATATAATCTGAAGAGATACCCGGAGAGAAAACTACTAGGAAGCTTGTAGTACAATACCCAGAATATGATACACTCATATCACTGCCCACTGACTGCTTCCACGGGGAGGTGATTGAGACCTGGTGTTGGGAGGGGGGACTTAATGTAAACCCAGTGACTAGAACACATCCATTATCCCACTGATGGCTGCTGGGTATTAGGAGCAACAGGAGCTCGTGTTGGCGGCGGTTCATTTGGCTCAAGGCAGACTCAAAAGAACCGATACCTAGTGTTCTGTGTAAGCCATCATCTTTGCTTTGCAGTTGTTAAGAAAAATACTTAGTTTACATGCAAATAACTAGCAGAAACTGAAACTCTAATAAAGAGTTATTAATCAGCAATAATAAAAGCACGCACTTTTTGAATCTGCTACATTGTTTTAATAATCAGGGATACCGGGCTGAGTCCAGCGTTTTTACAGTGAAAGCACCTTCCTGGTTGAGTTCACAGCGGTATCTGTGCCAGCTCATCAGCATATGAATGGCCCAACAGCCCTTTTATACCATTTGAATGAGGCGAAAAGAGGTGTTCCTTGAATACCTCGGCTTGGAAAAAAAGGCCCAGCTGATTTAAGATGTGAGTTCTGGTCGGGGGAATGTTTTCTGCGTCCGCGCCGTGCGTAAAAGCTGCTGGTTGGTGTTGACCGGAGGAGTGAGGAGGAGCTGGAGGCGCACCACCGGCAGATCCGCAGCTTGTTTTCAGATTAAACTGTTCAGACAGTCAGTCAGTCAGTGTCTCCACTGCAGGCCACACCAAACAGGTTGTGTAGCCTGGGTGGAGGAGGAGAAAAAGAGAGGAAGGAGTTAACGTGAGAGCAGAGGAGCCACTCCCAAAGCTCCAGCTGCTACCTGCTTCTCCAGTCACGGTCAAACCACGGAGAAGCCGTGAAACACAGAAACACCATCAGTTTATTCTTGTGCATTTAAGAACACATGCACCATCGGTGTCAACCTGTGGATAAATGTCCGTAGATGACAGTGAGGAGAGCCGTGTTTACAGGTGAGTTTCACCGACAGTTTCCGCTGGTTCTGCACCTGTTGCACGGTGATAGGAATTAGGAAGAGTCGAAAGTGAACTTCAGTGGAATGACATGATGTTATTATTTAACATTAGAATGTGAAGAGGATTGAGGCAAAGATTTTGTTTACTTTTTAACATAAAACCAAATAGATTTTGCACTTGTGTTGCTTTTGGTACAAACACGGATACGTGTGTCCGATTGATAAGCAAATCTCCATTTCTGTCTCAGTGCATCTCAGTCTCTGTGTTCACTTTGGCTTCAGCCATGATTGTGGGGACTTTTAAAAGTATATATATATTTACACCCGTCAAATATTGTTTGACGGTCAAGACTGGGGTTTATATTCAGTATTATAGAGGTTTAGAATCAAAGTATGATTTGTAGATACAAATATATCCAATAACCCTTTATTCACATTTTGATGATTTGCATTCTGTCACTTGATTAGTGATATTTTAAAAAGCGTAGTTACTTAGTAACTATAAGAGCTTCAGTCAACTGTGGCATTTTTCCAAATTTGCACAATTGATTGATTTGATTTAAAACCACACTGTGGAAGAGTGATGAGTTAGTTGTGTTTATTTTCTGTTGTGTTATGTCACTACACTACATAAATCTGACCAACATCAACTGATCACAGCTATAGGAACCTTATAGTTAACACATTTAAAAAAAAAAATCAATCTAAGGATGCCTGAAGTTAAAAGTTAGCCCTTGACAAGGCTAATTGCTAATATACAGTATGGCATGTACATCTATACATCTACTACAATGCACAGCTAAAAGCAGAACCAGTGATAGCAAGTGGCCTGGCAGAAATAGTGAGCCATGAGCTGCGTGAAGTAAACACACTGGCTGTCAGATGTGGACAACTTTAGGAGAGGTTTTTGTGTTTGTGCATCTCAGTCCCCCAGGGAGTGTTGGATTAAAGTGCACTACCAGGACTCTCTACCTTTTAAAGACGAGTTAGGTTACAATACTGCTGCTTAAGTTTCTTCCTCTTAACTACATGAATGAAGACCTCACACTCAGTACACGTCTGCAGACGTGCCGGGGCCCTTCCAGGGGCGCTCATTCTCACCCCACAATGGTGGGCCATTGCTATGGTGATGTAGGGTGGGTAGCAGTGGGGGATCCTGGCTCCACTTCCAGCAAGCATTGCTTTGGAGGCTCTTCGCGGCTGCCCTATCATGAGGCTGTCGCAGGAGTCCATATGGAATTGTGCAGTTTGTGAAATCAGTCTAAATGTGGGTCACTTGATATCAATGGATTTTGCTGGTTAATGCTCCGGTCTCTGTGGGGTCTTTGTTTTCTTTGGAGTGTCTGACAAATCATTTTGGGATTTAACCCAACTTTGTGGTAGTTTCAACTCCAGCAGAAACTTAACTGCATGTGATTTTAGGGTTGAGTTTGAAGAGTGTGTCAAGGTTTGTGGAAACCTCTAGCAGCACCGACATCTGTCTGTGCTGGGACAGAACCTGATAACAAACACTGAGCATGTTGTGTCTGAACTGTTTTTATCACTCCAACTTGAGATATGTTTTTAACAAAGCATCCAAGGTCTCATTGATTGGTGAGCGTTTCCAAAGTCTGTGTTAGTGTCACAGAGTTAATTGGGACTCTTATGTGTCCCATTTAGCAGTTCCATCTTGTTTTATCCATTATAAAAACTCACAATAAAAGTTTAAAGGTTTTAAACTTGTCTCTTATGGTGGTTAATTTGAATTGATGAACCTTTAAATCCTTTATTTTAAATTCAAGTCTATAGTCTATATAACCACTGTTTATAGTCAGTTTAAAATTCTGATATTGAATCAGATATTGTTAAATACAGTATGTAGAAATTGCAAAACTTATGTTTTATAAAAACTTTGTATGGTCAGCCCCTGTTATATCAATTTCAAGGTCAATCGTAAATATTTCAAGGACATTTTGCTTTAAGCGTCTGCCTTTATTTTCCACTTTGCACTTTTGAGAAAACCTGGAGGATTTTCCGACACACCAACCACAACAAAGCAGCAGCTCCCGCTCCCCCATTCCTCTGTACTGTAATACTGACCCGACCAAATGCCAGGAAACTGCTCCAACAGGTAGTGTGAGTGTCGAACCAGACCTCCCAAACATGGCTGTCTGTCTTAAGACGTGTTCATTAAGCACACAGGCTTGTTTATTTCCTTGAAAACGTCATTTTAAAACACTGACACCAGAGAGCGGGTTTTCAGTTAATTAGCAACAAAATCTTCTCTAAAATTTCTGATATTCCCACACTTTCCAAAGAATTCCTTTGCCCCTTACCAAAACCTGAACAACCTGTAAACTGTCCCTTATAACACTCTCTCTCACATACCCACACAATTTCCTTATTAAATGTCACAAATATATTCACTGATTGATGACATCATTCAATCCAAGCTCAGAGATTAGAACTGACTGTGTTCATCCTTAGCCAGTCAAATACACCGATTAGCTACCAAATAAAACGAAATACTTCTTTTTTCAGTATGTAATACTTCAAAGCAAATGTACATAACCCAAACCTACAAGTCATTTTTAATTTAGTACAAAAAAAACTGAGACTAACTTTGAACACACACAAAGGTCATGACATTGTTTTTTTATTACTGTAATAAACAGTGTATTTCAACACGTCATCCTCCTACTTCTTTAATAGATTTCTGGGAAAGATTGGTCCAACACGTGTACCTTGGAGTATTGACTCAGTAATATATCTGCTCTGCAGTAAACCTCAGCTGATCTTTGTAAAAACCAGCATGAATCATCT